CTCAGAAACACGCGCCGAACAATTCTAAATTCTGAACGAAAAGATAAAGATAGTTTCGCTCGGATGATATTCTTTTTTAAACTAAATATACGGGTATTTGTCGTAAAAATTTACACGCGTTGGAAAAATGGATATTTGTATTAACTTTGATAAAAAGTTGAGAAATACTTACCCTGGGGATATTCGATTAAAGTAAGAGACAAAGGAACCCATTCTGTTTTTTGCATAGTATCCACGAAACGTGATTTAACTTCATGAAATGATTCGTCGTCTAACGATGCCATGTTATCGAAATGTTTGAAGTGACCATAACTTGAACAACTCACCGCGCAGCAACAATCATGGAATCCGTGGAGTAGTGGTAGCCACCAGCTATCAGTTTTATTTCATCAATATAAATTATTTATGAAGAAATTTACATTATTTTATATTTTTACTTAAAAAATGCTCTTTTGTTATTCTAAGTACTATTTATCTATTCAAGCTATCTTTCCAAAACATGACATTTATTAATGCTAACGTTTCGAGTGTTTCAAGCAGTTTCATTTTATCTTGATTTAAGTTGAATGTATATCAATACAACGAAAGTAAATGCAACTAGAAAAATACAATTAATGAAGAATTTTCACAGAAAAATATAATTAACGGGCCGAAAGGAATATATTTCATTTTCATTTTCAATTTGCAATATTTATTCTTTCACATATAGAATTTTACGAAGGTAAATATTCCGATTGGACTAGAATAGTTACTGTACCTTGTGCATCGAGTATGAAAAATCAAATTTTAACTATAGTTTGTTAATCTATCGTGTCGATTAGTTTACATATAATCGATAAACTGAAAATTTTAGTATATGCAAATTAATAGAAGATAAGATAAAAGTTTCAAACAAGTCAAATTTCTTTTTTCTACAAAATTTAATCAATTAACGAGAAGGTACAAATTTTATTAGATTGTTTCTGAATTTCCATCGTATTGTGACTTGTGAAATAATGTATGCTGAAAACACATAAATATGCGTAAAGTAGTTTATTTATAGTAAATTGGTATTCCTTACATTTATTCTTACGGTTCGTACCACCTACATAGTTTGTTTTTATCGTCAAAATTGGGATCGACTAGTGACATAAAATCACTGCTTGTCGACGGTCTATAGATACGTAAAATGTGTGCGTTTTCACGCTGCGCAAGAAGCGGGAGAGATAGCAAATCGGATGCATAGTTGTATGTTGGTTTATTCGGTGTTTGCGTCCTGTACGTGGTATGAATTTTAGTCGTGAATTTCTATACGATGCATGAGTATGTTTACAATACAATTTTGTATGATATTTTCTGTACTCTGTAGATTTTGTTGAGAAAGTTGCATCTATTTAACGTTTGACAACGTTCCGTTTATGTATCTGCGTCTTCTCTAGACACTTTTCCGATTATAATGGGTTAATGTTTTAGGTAATGTACGAATTTTTCTACACTGTATTAGAATGTAAATGTTATTCGCGGTAATTTTTCATAGTATTCAATATTAGACAATACTACATACGTTTATTGTCTTTAGACTACGCATTTTATACAATTTTAATGCATATACATGAAATGAATACAACAACATAAATGCTTCATTCAAGCTTTATTCTGATAAGCTGTTGATTTCATTTGTATTTTTTTTAAATCGTTAATGCGAAAATTATGTTTCTATTTAATTCTAATTTCTAAAGAGCAATGCAGAAATGTCTGTATTAGTACAAAGATTCATAGCCTGGTTATCAAAGTATGATATTTAATTTATCAGTTGAATGATAAGATTTCTTTCAACCTGCTCATTCCTTTGTCATTTTTCTAGAGCTGTATAACATGTTCATTGTATTTTTTACAGGTTATATGTTTAGAATGCTAAATGATACCCTATAAAACACATGGCAAACCAAGATACTACAAATTATCATGCACTCTGTGCAAATGATAAAGATGAAATTGAAGGTCTTAATGACAGATTGTTACAGTTATTATCTGCACAGAAAGTTCCGTCGCAAAACGTTGAAAGTAATATATTCCAAACATTGAGCGATGCTAGTACCAACAATGGGAGCTTTAAAGCTGAAAATAAAGCATGTACCTGGCCATTATTTAATCATCCTAAACACGATTGTTCTCTTTTACATCATGATAGTCCAGTCAATTTACCAAATTTACCAACATATCTTCCACCTATTGGAGTGTTTTGGGACATAGAGAATTGTCATGTTTGTATAATATTACAAGTGAACTAATTAGTTATCCCTTAACACTCCAAAAATATCGTAGAGCAATTGCCAGTTGTTCCAAATAAATTTTATTAATTTTAAAGAGGAAATTCAATTGTGAATGTTGGATAAACATAAAATGATATCAAAAATCAGGAAATTAATCCAAACATATTTTACTGTTACAATTGTGTTTGATGTATGCATGTCTGGCAATGAGATTGCCAATTGGAGTGATAAGGGTTAATAATAATAATAATATACATATACATTATGTCATATACAATTATTTCAGGTACCAAAAGGAAGGTCTGCTATGGCAGCGACACAAGTAATTAGGGATAAATTTTTTAGTGGTTACAGAGAAGCAGAATTTATTGTTGTTTGTGATGTTAGGAAGGAAACTAGTCATGTTGTGAAAGAATTAAATGATGCTCAGGTAAATTTATACAATGAATTTATGGCAAACCTACATTATTTGTTCTATGTAAATTTGTAATCTTTTCTTGTAATATAATAAGTTAACAATTAAAATTACATGCCTCAGGTTAATTTAATACATGTTTCTGGAAGTTGTAAAAATGCTGCAGATGAAAAGCTTAAGCAGTCTATACGGAGGTTTGCGGATATACATGGAAGTCCAGCAGCTGTAATTTTAATATCTAGTGATATTGATTTTGCTGCTGACCTCAGTGATTTACGTTATAGGAAGAAAATTCATGTGATACTTTTACATATGAAGTATACTTCTGAAGCATTAATACTCTGTGCCAATGAGCATTATGATTTTTCAGAACTTATGGAATCACTGCCGTCCAGTACTGTAGAGGTAAAGGATCTACTACTTATGTAATAGGTCTTTTGATTAATAATAAAGGTTTATTTTTATTTCTTCTACTATTTATTTTATCTAAGTTCTTTTATGCAATAAACTGCTTTATATAAGTTCTATGTGTTTTGATTTTTCTAAATTAAAACATTGTGTTTGTCAGTTTGTTTATTTTCACTAATATTTGTACTCGTACCAGAATTATATGTCTTTGTATAAAGTAGATTAAAATATTAGTTTCCCTGGCGTTTTAAATTTTTTAATACTTTGTAAAACTTGTGCTTATTACAGGTTACTACATTTTATGACCTTCTAATTTGTAACCTTCCTAAAGATCAAGATGTTTTGTCTATTAAACGTCGTCTTAAACAATTGTCAGAAAACTGTGGTGGACGTGTACTGGATGTCCAATCAAATGTTGCAGTTGTACGTTTCACTTCACAGATCTTTGCAGAAAGGTACATACTTTGGATGCACTGATATATATATATATATATATATTTAATGTCACTTATAAGTTTCTTATGATTAAGATGTTTTTAATTTATTTACAACATAAACGATAAATAGTATTAATAATATTCTTAGATTTAAATAGCCCGCCCTACATACAACCAATCACTCATTAATAGTTACTGATATCCTATTGGATTATACAGTATAAAAAAAAACTAGTATTATGAGTAGTAGGGACAAACACATAAATAAGATAGATTTTAAACTGAGAACAGCAATGTAACGAACATAGTGGCTCTGTAGGAACATCATAAGTTTAATTTATATAAAATATTTGATTCATTTATGTATATTGCAATTATTATTTGATACATCATTACTATTTATTGTTTTATTTCTTGTGTATTACAATGTTGACTTAATTAAATGATTTTATTTATATGCAAGGTAAGTTTGTGACACATGTATTAGACAGTTAAATTGTATAATTTAGAATAGTGAAGTGAATCTTGTAAAATATGTATATTGTACAAAGGGTACAGATTTCTATGGGAAATTAACTGAATTTTGAATTTGTATCATAAGTGTATACTTTGTGTTCTCCAAGGTCATTTATAGACAAATTTGATTATCTTCTGTATTGATACCTTGTAATTACAGTTAGTCAGCTTTGCTCAATAACAATGTGACTTTTTTTTGGTTCAGGGCCCAGAAACGTATGGATGGAAAAATTGTCCTTGGTTCGAAAATTTCGGTAAAATTTCCAAAGGAGAAAGGAAGTTATTTTCAAAAATTTCAAAGTAATCCACCACAAGGTATACTTCCTCTTTATTTCAAAAGTTACGCTTTCTTGTTTGTACTTATAATATGCATTAATAACGTTATTTCATAATTGTAGGAAATTATACAAGTAGAAATCGTGCCCTGAGTGAATCAGAAATTGCTATTAACTCGTCAAAACAAATGTACAGTACTTCGGTAACGGGTGGAAGAGCCCTTCAAATTCCGCATTACCAGTCATCATCTCCAGTTATTGGGACATATGCTTCAGCATGGAGTGCTCATTGTGCTCCAGTCTCTGCACCACCGGGGTAATTGCATATTAGTAATATAAAATATCAAAAATAATGTATTAATGATATAAAAGTAATCTATTATAAATGATGATTTTCCGAGATGGGAGCCTTTGAGTCGCAAGTAGACAAATTCTGTCCTAGCTGATTCGGGCTATGAATTTTTAGAAGCTTTGATCTTATCTGATATAATATTGAAAAAAGACAGAAAAAAAATTGTAATAAATTCATATGAATTTTGTTGATTTCACCTTTTATGTTTATTTTATACAGAATGATTCAGCCACCGCCTATTTTCGTTGGGAGACCATATTCAAATAATAATAATGTAACTTTAAATAGAACGTACAATGAACTTGCACGGGTCCAATCTCCATTATTTTGGCAAATCTCTGGTTCACAACAGTTTGGTCATATGTGGGAAGAACAATATAAAGTATGTATAATTTTATATCGTATTCGGATATGGAAAATATGTTTTTTTATTCATTAATAATTATTTTAAGGTGGAGAAAACAAAACTACTTAGTAGAAGAATTCATATCCCGCAGGCTCGGGATAATACAGTTACAAATAATGTATCCTCCCGAACTCCGGAAGGTTTAAGGCGTATACGAGTAACCCACCATTCTTTCGTTCAACCTTCAGAATGGACTGGACCAAGACAACAATCTCTATTAAACGTTTCTGCCAGTTTCAATGGAAACTCTCAATCGAATTCATTCAAGCGCCGCAGTCCATCTCCAATGTGCGATCTACAAGCGCGAGAACGAAATCAGTGGAATGGACAAGTAAAGAATTTAACTTCGCAAGATTTACCCTTATCACTCCAACTGGCACGGATATATGCAATAGTAAAATATGTATAAATTAAACAACTGGCAATCATTTTACAATATTCTCGGAGTGATAAGGGTTAAGAAACGAAGTTCCATGCATTTTTTTAATCCTTTGTTTCTCTGTTCATTAAGAATCAACAATCTGCATCTATACGAAACACTAGAACACCATCACCCTACGAAAATTCTGTGCAAACAAACAATCAACAAAATAGTCACACATCTCCTTATCAACAGAGTGACGCAGAAAACGAAGAAGTTGAGGTATTTCATTGTTTTGAAATTTCATTTATTGCATCTGATAGATAATTACATATGATCTTCGTTATTTCAGAAATTCTTCAACCCGATCATCACTCACAATGGAACAATAAACAACGAAACCTGCACACCTATTGAATTACAAGTCACAAATCTAGACCAAAGTATTAATCCAAAAAAAATGAGGCATATGCTCGCTTCAATCTTTTTGGAACATGTAATGGTACATTTTTTACATGTATATTATATACAATTATATTATTATAAATGTATGTTCTTAAATTTATCTTATTAACTTATGTTTCTTTAGGTATTAAACGTATCGATTTTTACACAGTCTGATGGTAACTTTGCTGCTAGCGTCAAAGTGCCTTCCTTGTCAGACGCACAATACGCAATTTCTCAATTACACCGGCGCAAAGTTGGTTACAAACGTATTTTGATTGCGTACGCTCACAGTGGCAGAGCAAGTCCTCAGGTTGTACGAGCGCAGATCGTGATGCTCTTGCAAGAAGTACCGGGACACAAGCTTCCACTTTTTAAATTCCGAGAAATGTACGAAAGTCGTTTTATGATTTCCATCAGTGTTTCGGAGTTGTACAAAATGAAAGATGTCTGTATCATTACCGAAGATCCTGGCGGTAGGATGGTTTCTCTGAATCCAGACCACAGGAACACTCCGTCGCCTTGTTTCAATACTACAACTCAGGTACGTTGAACTTTGTAATCCTAAACTCGTGGAACCTGTTTTCTTAACGTTACCGAACGTTTAGGTACATGATGATGTATATAAAGCCGAGTTCGAGCTTTTCCAGTACCAGTAGAGCTACTGTTCCTTTTACTGTCGAGAAGTTGTGACAATAGCCCAAAGCGTTGAATATCTTCTGAAATAATAAATGCAATGTTCTTGCATTAAATTCTTCGAATACATGAAATGAAACGAATGTTTCTCATTTTCAGGAAGAACAAGTGGAATTACCATACTGTGCTATTCACATGTTAAAACCATGGTCCGATAAAGGTTGGGCTGAACAAAAAGTAGCGTCTCTTCCTAACGTAAACATTTCTTTAAAGATTCTTGATCCACGTATACATCAGTTGCTGAGTACGCATAATGGAAGTTTACCACTGCCTAGGTATACCATTTGCAAATGTATTGTTTAGAGATTTATCCAGTGAAATAAATTTATTCTTAGTGAATTTGTAATGATAATAAATCATTTTAGCTTGCCAAACTGTTATGAGGCTGAGTTCAAAGAAAACATTCAGGTAGCTGAGAACGGGGTACCGTTGGAGCATTTGGTATCTTGTTTATCTTGCGTGGAACTGAAGCAGAGTATGGGTAGTGTGAAGTATCTTATATGGACGGGAAATAAAACTCATGATAATAATCATGAAGGTAAATTTTCTAGTCGATTATAAGAATTTCCTTCGTCTTTATCCGTTACTCATAAATGTGCCATACTCTTTTACAGAAAACAAGTGTGTAAGTCCTCCACTTGCAAATCAGTTAGCACTTTTTAGCCGGGAACTGGTTGATCTGCTAAAAACTGCTCCGCACTGCCAATTACCATTTAATCGATTTATACCAGCATATCACCATCACTTTGGACGACAATGTAGAGTTGCCGATTACGGATTCACTAAACTGATCGACTTACTAGAAGCACTCACACACACTGTACAGGTAAACAGAATAAAAAGGAAAATTATAATGTACCCACACTATTATTGAAACTTGTATTCGCATGTACTTAGGTAATGGGCGAAGGAAATAATCGAGTGGTAACATTATCTCACCGTGCCCAAGTACGTCGTTTTACTTCTGATCTGTTGAGAGTTCTAAAATCTAAAGCCAGCAAACAAGTAGCACTGTCAGAGTTCCCAAGTGTTTATGCGAGAGTAATAGGTAAACGTTGTTCCATGCTTTTTAAGCGTAACTATTTCCGCATAGATGAAAATAATGAAGACACTTTACACAGCTAAACCATGGGACATCGTGGATTACGGTGTTTGTGAAATTGAAGACATTCTTAACGAAGTATCAGAAAATACTGTTGTCGTGACAACGATCAGTGGCGGAGATAGAATGATAGCCATACCGAAACGAGAACAAACTGCGGAAGAGATTGAGCGAACGAAGCAGTTCGCTGTGGAGGTAAAATGTGATAGCGTTACAATCGTTCTATGGGGTTAATTCTATTATAATAGAAGTATACCAATCATTTATGCAGGTTGTAGAATTATTAGGACACGCACCTCAATGCAGAATGCAGTTTAATAAATTCGTGCCTTCGTATCATCATCATTTCGGCCATCAGTGTCGAGTGTCCGATTATGGTTTTACTAAGTTAATTGAATTGTTCGAGGCCATACCGGACGTAGTCAAGATCGAAGATGACAACACCGGAGAACGACAAATCTCCCTCACAGAAAAGGAAGGTTTTCGCGTCCTGTCTGAACAAATATCAAAATTAATCATACGGTCAAAAGGTTGTCTCAGCATTTCAAGCATTCCGCAAAACTTTGTCCGACAGTTCGGTTACGCATTAAGACCGGAATCGTTCGACTGTTCATCTATACTAGAACTTATGCAGAAGCTCGGAGATACGGTGAAGGTATGTCAATTTAAGATTAACGTCTGTACGCGTTAGCACGTTCGCTACCAGCGTTTGTTTCAGTGGCGATCCTCTCGATTCTAATATTCTATTCAATTCAATAAGTCTTTTAAACAAACTGTTGAAACAAATGAAGCTAAAACGAGTCATTGAATCCCTAAATGTAATTTTGTAGCTTATAACATTAACTAACTATATCTATAGGATTAATTTCATTTTCTTTATCTAAAATATAGGATTGCGTTCGTCACAAATATGTGAAACTGGTAGCGAGCGTGTTAAATAATGATACAATAATTGTTTCAGGTTATATATTTATCAACCGAGCCGGTAGTTACAATGGTAGATAAGTCCCATTTGCAACAATTAACTTTACAATGTCGTCGAGTATTGATGGACAAAGTTCAACGGAAAATGACGGTTAAAGAATTTCAACAATCGTATAACCAGTATTATTTAAAGCTGTGTAACATGGACGAGCTTAAACAAAATCTCTCTAACGTAATTCAGGTATGGTATTCTAAATCCTCCCGGAACTAATCCCGTTCCACAGAGCTTCGAAACTATTCATTTTCGCCTGGAATTGTGATTTCAGTTTACAACGGTGAATGACGAAGAATTTATAGAGCTCACTCCGTTACATTGTTTCGCTTGTGATTTATACCGTATAATGATGAATTATAACGGAACATTGAAACTTCCTCAGTTTGAGACTGCATATTTATCAACTATGGGTGTTGTTTGTAAGCCTGCGAAATACGGATTTTCAACAATGTTCGCATTATTGCAAGCGTTGCCCTGTACAGTTACGATACAGATAACGCGGCGTAAAAAGACAATTATACGTTTAAACAAAAAACTTGCTGGTACGTGTGTAACTAATACAATCGTTGAAAAATTCTTTATATTTCTAAGATATAATTAGATTTCTGTTTTCTTGAACAGCGGCTGGTATACCGCTGCCACCTGCTTTTACGTCAGCGTCCCCGTATCGTGATACGGATTCCAGTAACGAATCGTTTGAAAGCGATTCCTCTTCCCGCGTGAATGTTTCCAATAATTCAGTTACGTTAGAAGAACATGTGAAGTGGGCAGGACCAAATACTGAAAGTCAGAATTCGTGGAAACAATCCGACGAAGATATTTTATGGTATAAGGAACCTGAACAGTGGAAATTGTCAGCATCGAAAGATCAATTAATGAATTGGTCGATGCAAGAGAACGGGAGCGAAAGCTTCCTTAAAAGCTTAATGCGTACTCCTATTATACCATCTGCTTTCCCACCACCACCGCCCAAACCAGATTCTCCACCTGAGGTATTTATTGAATTTTGTTTCTTTATACGTTTATTCGAGTATATTACATTTTACAAACGTTTACACACCATAATATATATTACAATGAAATTCTATTGAATCGTAGGAGAATTTAAATAAAAATCAGTGGGAATCCTCTGTATGGATGACACCCACAAAGTACACATATCCACAGAATGAACACACCAATGTACAGGTAAGTGTATATTTCACAGAGAGATATAATCCCATATTTTACGAATACATCATAGAATAGGCATCATTCATTTCACTTTTATTTCTGTCGACAGGTTCCTCCATTAACCCTACCTCCTTCTTGGAATCAAATAGTCTGCGGTGATAGCGCATCCAACTTGCTATCGCCGACGAAAAATTTACTACCTGCTGCGGCAAATCCTTTGAATCCACGCACGTCTCCTTACTTTTCCTCGAAACATAACTTGGTTGTGGCTCCCCATCCATCTGAATTACCGCTTCCTTCGTTGTCATTGACTCCGAAAAAGAACGTATTGTCGGAGAACATTGTGACCGCGAAAATTTTCGTGGGTAAACAAGAGAATGTAAAGAAATCAGTGGCCGAATCAAACATTGACTACGTCAACAATAACACGGAGGTTGACGATACCGACAATGAAAAACAAAACACGCCCACAAAGCAGTGTACGTAGCCAGCGTGTTTTCTACAGTAGAACTCCCCTATAATACGATTAAAAAATTGTTAGAAAATAACTATAAAAGTGAAAAAATAATACGAGCAGAGGAAGAAGATGAATTAGTATCCAAAAGGCGACGTTAGTGAGATTTAATGTGAAATTAATATAACATGGAATCTTTTAACCGTGTTACGGGGAGTCTATTGTAATTGGTTATTAGATCATTTGTATGTTAACATTTGTTCGTTGCAGTGTACACGGGGAAACGTCGCTTAGCTGCTCAGTTTAATCAGCCCATTGAATCTTAAAGAATAGAAATAGTGTTTAATAATGTACAAACGTATGCTGAATGCAAAGAAGCTGTCATTGGAGCACAGACATACATATATATATATATATAGATCATATACAAATATATACATACACACACATCATACACACACATACACACATTTCTCAGCCTTGAAATGTGTTATTTGGGATTAATAAAGAAGGGATTTCTAGCATCTCGGTAGGCTGTCACACAGCGGGCTCAATACCTATACACCGTTTCTTGAATGGTAGGTACCCCTCCTCATTTATATTTGAAATATAATGGTAGTACTATATGGATTTGATACATACGCGATAAAGAACAGAATTTATTTTCAAGAAATATGAAAATATATATATATATAATAATAATATTACCTATGTACTAAGTAGCTATTATTTCTGATTTGAAAAATGCGAATAAGTGTGCGGCGTTTATACCGAGTGATATATATATATATATCGATTATACCGTATAAAAAAAATCCATGTAGCATTTTTCATACTGTGATATAGAATAGAAAGAAAGAGTGCAAATGGTAGAATAATACATGAGGGTAAACTTGAAATTGGCAATAATTGTGCATGTTCCATAGGTTTGGGCTATTATTCCTGCATCGAGTGCCACAATTTTTATTAATATTTCAAATTATGCTTCAATTAGAGATATCTGCATAAAGTTGACTAATTACAGTGGTAGATTCAGAGAAATTATTCGCAACGAAAATCGCTCTCGTTATTGAAATTAAATATTTTTTTACAATTTATATAAATTGAAAATATTTGGTGTATTTGTCATGTTTAATCGGTGGTACCTCTTTATTGCAAAGAGAATATAATCAGCCCAATCCTATCGATTATTGTAAATTATTGACCTAAAGAACGATATAAACAGCCAAGACCATATTAATTAAATTATCGTATCTAGATATAGTGTCGTTACCAACTACGAAACCGAATATAATTCATTTTAATCGGTCATTCGTTCACCTTAAATTATCCATTTACACAATTATTTTCCTATTTACGTTAGCGAATTCCCTTCATTATTATCTATTTGTTTTTATGGCACATCTGATTTTCTAAAATTGTATTACAAGTGAATGTATTTTGAATATTTTGATAACAAATCGAAAGACTTTGTATGATACTTTAAAATGTCATATTATCTCATTATGTACGCGAAGCTAATTTTAAGTGGAAAAATATTTATCAACTTACATATAATCATTGCCAAATAGCTTAAAATCGCAAGAACTACAAAGCGTATGGTGCAAGCAAAAAGTCAAGTTTTTACGAATTCTAATTGAGACTAATTCCTTAAAAAGAGATTGTAATACGGTGACACGTAATTAAAAAGTTTTATCCAGAATAAGACAAAATGCAAGACTCTGTAAAATAAATTATATCAATCGGATTGAAGAACATTTAACTAATGATTACTTTTAAACAACGCTACTATTTTACTGGAATATTTTCTGTTTTCAATGTCAAGCGAGAACATTGAATTTGAAAAAAAAAATGTTGGCATTCATTATGTTGCAACGATACATTATTAGTAGATTTAAATAAATAACGCGAGGTACTAACAGAAAAGATTGCTCTCTATGAAGTACACGTAAACGATCTTGTTGATCTCATATTTTATTTTAATTAATAAGGGA